AGGTTTTTGAATTATAAAAAAAGTTTTATCAGACGAATTAAAAATTCATCCATAGAAAATGTAGAAAAAATAATTGCGGTTTTTTTGAGCTAAAGAACTCCAAGAAATGTCAAAAACTGAAAGAGGAGATAGATTTTTTCTGTAAAAAACTTTCAAAAATGATCATTTTTGACATTTTTTATTCCGGAAAACGACCATACATGAATCTATAACCACTAATTAATTTTTAAAGAATCATTTGAATCATCTTGGAACTCCACAAAATCAGATAACAAATTCTGAAATTATGGTTTTAGACCTGCAATTGTGATCGCGCCAAACTTTTTTTTCTGTAGATCAAAAATTAATTTGCAGTTCGGAATTGTTCTGTGGGAGAGCGTGCAGTAGATATTCTAAAAGCAGTCTGAATTACCAGATTTACAACATCCAAACAGGCGAGAATCAGTTCTCCGACCCTCTTTGGTGATGATGTGCATGAACAAGAAATAGGCAAACTGCACGGAAGAATGTACTTCAAAAAGTTTTATGAAGATTCCAAAATTTTGGATGCTTATTTCACACGGTTTTCGACTTTTTTCAATTTTTCTAAAAATTCTAAATTTCAGAGGAAACTGTTCGAATCTGATTTTTATCATTTTAATGATACTGAATTTGTGAATTGTCATTGGACGAGACCAACAGTAAGTCTATGAAACTTTCAAATTTAAATCTGTTTTTCAGGTTTCCATTCCAGTTTACAGTTGTCGAAAAGCTAGTTTTGTTGCTTGTGAAAACGTGATTCCACCTCCGAAAACAACCACAAAACCAATTCCAACGACGTCGGAAAAAATTCAGAGGACAAAAGATAAAAATGTCACTGTGGTTCCTGAGGTCTCTCACGACTTCCAAGAAGATGTTAGACCTACAGAACCTAGTTATTTTCATATGGAGTTTTTGGGTATACATAAAGTTTTTATAAGTTCAATTAGAAATTTTCAGATGAGCATATCATGTTTTTTGTCACTTTATCTGGGTTCTCAGTTGCATTGCTGGTGGCATCAATTGTGCTTCAAACTATGAAGGTGTGGCAGAATCTAAAACTGAAAATTGTGAAAAAAAAGAAGAAATAAAGAATTGATGTCTTTAATTTTTATATTATCGTTATTTTTGTACCCTGAGAAAGTTACGATTGTTGAATTTTATCGAATTAAAAAAAAAGTGTCCTGGAAACCTGACACTCAACCCTTTTCCCGGGAGCTTGATTCCTCAGGATTCAACATTCTTGTACAGTGATGAACTCCTTTTTGTTTCATTACTTTATTTTTTATCTGGAATAGATGAGGTTCACATAATATGTAGTTCTTCGTTCGCCAGTCATCCGCCAGTCGTCCGCCAGTCGCCCGCTTGTTGCCCCGTCCACAGCCCACCGGCACAAAGAAAACTTGAAAGTCTGGTGCCTCTGGTTTTTAAGATTTTATATAGAAGACGTCGAATTTTGAATTTTGAAAAATTCTGAATCAACATATAAAAAGTGAACGCCTTCTGAAGTTCTGAATTTGAGCTTCTGACGTTCCGAATGCTGGTGACGTCTTCTAAAATTTGACGTCTTCTAAAATCCGGATGACTTTGAACTTTCGAAACTAAGGTTCTGAATATTGGACATCTTCTGAAACCCAGAGTCTGAATAATTGACTTTCTGTCAGAAAATTCCAAAACGCTGAAAACCTCAGTCTTCTGAAGTCAGATGTCAGTTTCTTATTCGACAATACGGACCAACAGGGTAAGATGGATGATCACGAGGAAAATATATCGTAAACGTTGGATTTTTCACCGGTTTCCGGCTATTTTTCTTCTAAACGCTGGACTTTTTTTTGGATTTGATCAGCCAGCATAGTATTTAGCAACATCGATGGGGAATTATACAAAAGAGAAAACATATATAACGTTTCGACTGAAGATCTTTTTTCAGACGCTATGATATTTCCCTTATCTCTTTTTTTGTGATATTTCAGGAAGCGAACCTAAAAATAGGCGGAGGCAGAAACCCCTCATTTTCCGACTATGCGCTCCGAGATATAATTCTGAGATAAGTCTGAGATCTTTAAACTTTCTGATCTACCGTTATATCTTGAGATCAAAAAACCAATATTTCAGCCTTCTCACTCACTTTCGCTTTTTCTACTCTCGACGGCACCCCTTTGTTCGCTTTCATCTACCACTAACCCCCTTCATCACATGACTTACTCTTCTACACTATCTAAAATCGTCAATGTATGTATTCCTGAAATTCAAACGGATTTCTTTTTGTGGACAATTACTGATGCTCTTTCTATTGAACAATCAGACACATCTTCAACGGATTCACTGTTGAAAATCTCTTCAATAGAAATATTGAGCAGCGCCTTGAAGAATCCAAAAATCTCGGATCAAGTGGAAGAGATTCTAAAATCTAGTGAGTGTTCTAGATTTATTTTCAAAAAAAATCTTTTTTCAGATCCTCTCGAGTTATACAACATCCACTATATCGAAAAGCATCCAATGTTGTTGAGTACCGCATTGAATCTCAGTTTTCCCGAAAAGACTGGAGTTCTTGGAGTTGAAATCAGAAATACGATATGTCAGCTCACCAGCGGTGACAGGGTTCTGGCAACCGTTTCAAATACGGACTTCGAATGGCCCACCTATTTCGTCAATTTTGCATACTACAAGAAGCTGACCGATTTTCAAGTTTCAGTTATGGGTCAGTTTATGTTTTTTTTCAGATTTTTCAATTTTATCAAGGTATAGGAAAACTTCGTAGAAAGCTCGTAGAAAAAGTTCGTAGAAAAAGGATAGAGTTAGATGTGTTCGAACGCTAATAATCTTAATGGTGTTGGTCTAGACGCGGAAGCTTCGGATTGAACTGCTGAATCTTACGGTTTTGTGCCCACATTTTATTGGAAAAGGCATCCGAAATAATTCAAAAGAAGTACTGGAAAAATCGCCGTAGCAGCTGATAGAGAGCCGGCGGGCCATGGCCGGACGAACGACGAACTAGTAAACCTTTATTAAAGATTGACCCAAAAATATTGAGAAAAAAGAAACAAAAAGATGAATCCCTATTAAAAAGTTCAGAATCCAAAAAACCAGTTTTTTTCTCAATCGAGATAAACTTTGAGAACAAAATCTTTTTTTTTCATTTCTTTCATAAACCGAAATGTTCCAGAATCTAACATCGAGACAAAATCGGAAAAGTGCAAGAGATTCATCAAGCATCTGCGGAAACAAAAGGATCCAACCATCAATTCTTCGTCGTGCACCTTCGAATGCTACACCAGACGGGAGTTTTATTACAGTGGAGCATACGGTAGTCACGTCTTCTTCAACAGAATCTCATCTCGTTCCGATGGAATTTGCGAACACGAAAGAGTTGTTTGAAAATAGAAGGGAGAAAATTGGCTCAAAGTCATCTGTATGTATAATAATACTCGAAAAATTTCGTCAAATTTAATTCGAATTTACTTTTTTCCTGTTGAATCAAATCTTGTTTTTTTACCTTGTACTGTACAGATTGTAAATGTTGTCTTTCTTGTGTACTATTCTCACTGTGTACATTTTGTGGCATAATCTTTCAATCAATGAAAAAATTAGAAAAAACATTTCTTTTCTGAACGGATTTTTTACTATTCAGTAAAATTTGACGTCTCTATTATCATGTTATGCAAAAATTGGAGATGTGAAAGATCCGCGGCCACATCCGAACTGATGTCTCCAGTTCTTCCGCACATTATCTAAAATCCTTCTGCAGGTTTTCGGTGCTCAAAGTGTTCACATTTGATTGTTAAATCGTTTATAACGAGAATTGATTAAAGCAAGAACAAAGTGTTGAGAACAGTGCATAGAGATAAGAGACTCCTGACTAACAAGTTAAAAAGGTACAATAAAATTCGTATTATAATCAGTACTATCAGTAATAGTAGCTCGCCAATCCACTCAAATTTTGAGCGCCTTCCGCGATATCATAGTCATAGTCTTCTTCCTCCAGTTTGATTTCTTTCTTCACCTCGAATTCATCGGATTCTTCTTGCAACGGTTTCATGTTTTCGTCGCCAAAATCACCGATTTCTTTCTCTGGAATTTCATCCTTTTTCCGATCACAAACTTTATCGATAGGTTTTATATCGGTTTTCCTTTTCGGCTTCCTGGCCAACTGATTTTTAGGAATAACTAATTCGTTCGAAATTTCGTCAGCAAATTTTTTAGTCCTGGTGGTCTGAAAGATTTTGAGGGATTAGGAACTTTTCGAACACTGATAACACTTACGCGACGAGTGCTTCGACGCTCAGGAACTGATTTCTTTTCCTGGTTGAATTTCTGGAATTTGGGGTTTGGTTCGAAGTCTGTGTTATCAATTCTGGCCTTTTTCAAAGGAGGAGCTCCTTCCTCGAGTGAATATTCTATAGTTGGGACATCAGCAGTTCTTTTTCCGAGAGGTTTCAAAGTAACGGTAAATTGTTGTTTTAATGGCGAAGAAATGGGAATGGATTGATTATAGAACCATCTAGAAATCTAAAAAAAAACTCGTTGTTTCGAAGAAATTCTCTCTCTGAAATTACCACAGAACGCATTAGTCCAGTCTTTTTCATCAGAATTTTCATTGTAGATTCTCGATCAGTCTTGAAATTTTCTAGATTTTCCAGAAACAGTTTTATAGCTTTAGACTTGATATTTTTCTGAAATTATATTTTTTCAGGAACAATGTTATTTCTATTATTCTCGTACTAAAATATATCAGAGTGGTGGAAGAGAAATGCTGGTTGTCGTAGCCGGAGAGCCGATAACGACAACTACCGTAACCTAAAAAATTTCAATTTTTCGGATTTTTTTCGTTTTTCATTAATTTTTGTCGATTATTCTGGTATTTCCACTCAAATAAGTCGGAAAACGAAATTCTTTAAAAATTGACTGAAAACGCATGGAAATTGAGAAAATAAATACGGAAAATAAACAAATTTTTAGGTTACTGTAGTTGTCGTTGTGGGACCTTCAGCCACGGTCACCGGCGTTTCTCTTCCACAGCTTCGATGTTTCGGTACCAGAATAATACCTTCTGTCTTTCTTCTCTTTGCTTTTTACGGCGTTCTTTTTCAAGGTTTTGAATGATTCCAGAGTTTCTTCTTCTATGGTAGCTGTACCATGCGACGATCTGCAAAGAGAATTTGAAGATTCGAATAGTTTCTTCTGTTAACCTGTCTTCTAGAAAGGCCCGTATTCTTCATAAGTACTTCATAGACTTTTTCGGTTAAATCAGAACTTTTTGCAAAAGCTCTTTCGAGAAATTTCGTAATTTTGTCGCTATGAAATCTGCGATCCTTTGGCGGTGCTGGAATGATTTTTCCTTCCTTTCTGTCGCGATCTCTCAAAAGTCCGAGATAAGTGCTAATCTAGAAACCAACTTTGAGAAACAACATGTTTTCGTTTTCTCACAGCTCTCGCATTTTTTCCAGTGAGTTCTTTGAGCTCTTCAATATATTTTCCAGAATAATAGTTTCCAGCTGCATAGAACCTTTTGATGATTTCGTTTTTGTTAGTTTCTTTTCTCCAGGAGAACTCTTCTGTTGGATTTTTCTTGTTCATTGTTAGAATTCTGAAGAAGAATCTGTAAAAATAAGAACTAGATCAAGAAATAAGATGGAATTAATCACTCGAAAGAAACTGAAAAGTATCGGAAAACTGAAGCAAGGTTTATTAAAGTTTCAAAATTAGCAAATTAATTAGAACATGCAGGTGATCAGTGAGATGTCGAATATTACGGAGATCTCCATGGAGACGATAACAGTTTCGAGAGACAAATTAAAGAGAAGTGATGATGATCAGGGAAAGAAATGTGTTTTGAGCTTAGAGCAAAAATCAACATTAATGACTAAATTGAAAACTAGAACGAAGGAGGTAGGAAGTAAGGAAAAATACAGAGATTTTCATAAAACAGAAGTGTACATATAAAAAATTCTGATATATACATATTCTTATGATAGATAGTAATATTTCAGCGTCCAAAAGAATACATATGTCATGCTTTATAATATTTCAGCGTCCAAAGTTGCCGAAACCATGTTGCTGTCGAGCATATCGGGCTGGCGGATCGTTTTTGTTTATGTCGAACATTGCACGGATATCACCAATTGTCCAGCCTTTCTCTGCAAATAAACCATAGTTTAAATAGCAGAAAATTTTCTCGCTAATGAAACCCACTTTCAGTCGCTCGATCAGTATTATTTTTCGCGATTGCTCTCAGTTCCGAATCCAGACTTCCTTCAACAACCAAATGATACACACGCATCGCTCGTCGCTGTCCAAAGCGATTGATGCGACCGATTGCTTGATTAAGAACAGATTGAAGATGTGGAGGGTCCAGGAAGATAATGTGATTTGCGCCGGTCATGTTCAGGCCGTTAGCACAGAGTGACAGTGGGCAGAGAAGGATTTTTACATCGTCTGATATATCAAAATCGACAATTGTCTTTCCACAATTCTGTCTTGAAGCAGTTGTAATCGGTAAATCAGCCAGTCTAAAAACTTTCTGAAGGTAGAGAAAAACGGCTGTGGATGCTGGATCAACGTTTGTGAAGAGAATAATCTTGTTGGTTTCGTCGGCCGCTAGAATATTCCGCATTATTTGGATAGCCGAGGAGAGCTGAAAATATAAGGTTCTGATTATTATTATTACTCATTCATCGAATTTACTTTAGCCGACAGAATGAAACCTGGTATGGTTGTAGCAAGTTCCATATGTCCACTTCGAGCCAACATGATTTGCTGAACCTTGTTCTGAGCACGACACGATGGACATTTGAGAGTATCCACTACATAATGAGGAGTTTCACTGAAAATATGTATATCGGTTATTGAGACCAAATAAACGAATCATACGCTTTTGCCATTTGCTTCAACCTTTGATAGCATGGTGGACAGATCCGATGGCCACATGTGAACACCATGAATGAATCAATATCGCACTGACAAATTGGACATTCATCATACTCACTAGTCCTGAAAACCAAAAATTGGTATTTACAACATGTACCTCATTTCTTACTCATTCGTCAGTTGCTTCTTCATCAAATTCGTCAGGTAGCGCAGCTCTTTCACATCACTTTTGACGGTGCTTAGTTCTTGATCCCGAAGATCCTTGTGATCCTCAGCGTACTGTGCTCGTATCAACTCCATTGGAACTTCATAGGACAGATTTCCGAAATGGGTGTTGATTAGATCATCTGTGAGGAGGATTTGTGCTTGGGATAACTCTTGATAACGAAAAACGAGTTCGCAAATTATGTCAATTGTCAATTTACACGTTTTGATACTATCATGTATACGATCAAAGTATACGGCAAGGAAGTGCCTGCAAAATCAAAAATAATTGATTGCATAATGATATTAAAGAGATTTACCTGATAAAAGTCATTGCAGTGCCCTTCTTCGGTTCATAAGTAACACACATAACATCACCAAATCGATGAACTCCCGATTTCGGACGATGCTCACCATGGAATGACATGAATCCGGAATCAAAACACAGCGCCATATATTTACACCACATGTCGCAAAGCTCACATGGATGATTTCTGAAATATTCGGAATACTCTTTCTGAATTTTGTGAAGCGCTCACTCTTTAGTGTAGAAATTACATGCTCGGTCTTTTTCTTCCCGTGTTCCTCTGAATATAATATGTTTGCATGTGATGATCTCATACATTTTTTTGAGTTCATCAGATTTGCCTTCGGATGATTCGGAGAATATACCTAGTAGGAGAGCGGGATCACTCTGAAAACAATAGAAGTTATTCTCAAAAATTTTTGTTTACTGATCAGTGATCCCGAAAACAATTTTGTGTCTGGTAATCATGTGATTAGGTCAACACAAATAAAAATCTTACCATTTTGACAACCATGCTGATCAGATTGTTAAGCTTTTGAATAGCACTCCGCCTATTTGTATCAATCAGTCGTATTTGATTCATTAGTTTATCTACTATTTCGACCAGCGGTAAACAGGGTTGTCCTAGGAACTGTTCACACTCTAAATGTCTCTCCGAGCATCCACCCATACAAGTCTTTGAGTTGTGATATTGTTGTTTCTTTGGCTTCAGTGCTTTCTCGTCGTATATAGCCACGTAAGGTATATCTGCTAACCGATTTTTCATGGTGTTCGTTACTCGGAAGAGGTCATCATAGAGATCCTTCGGGTTTGGATTCACCTCACAGTTTCTGCGCAATTCGTCAAAATATGATTCGATTTGCTCAAACTAAATTAGAAAATTAATGAATTAATAGTTTGGGAAATTAAAAACCAACTATGTGATTCGGATCGTTGGTCCAGAGTGTCTCGAACTCGAGTAGACTTGTTTGTACTTTCTTGATTGCTTGAATCTAGAAACTGATTTAAAATTGTTAAATAATATTTTAAAGAATACTACGCACCTCTAGCCTGATAAACCGCTTCACTGGTTGACCAAGTCGTTGCATAGGAATCCGCTGTTCTTCTGGAATGCCTACCATGCACTGAAGATGGTGCATGTTGACGATAAGATGGAATTCTGATGTTGCATCCATTCGAATAGGTTTGAATGCTAGGTTAGCCATTTTATGTTTGTGTTTTTGTCTCTCTTCCTCTTCAACCTCTTCCACAGTCTTTTGTGGGACCGCAGGAACTGCTTTCTTTTCTTCTTCGTCCGACTCCTCCACCACTTCACCTCGTTTTCTACGTTCGTACCGAACTACAAATGCAAGGCGAGCCTCTTCCATTTCCGCATCCCTTTGATTCCGTAATGCTATACGTTTTTTCTCTGCCGCTTCTTCATCTTCTTGAATTTTACGGATAGCATCTTCTAAGCGAGGTCTTTTGGCTTTCGGTGGTCCGTCACTGTCGTCTGATCTTCCTTCTTGCTGCTTTCTAACCCACACGAGTTGTTTCGTATATCTCTTAAACACATTCAGAACAGACCTCACCATTGTAGCGACATTGTGTATCTGTTCTAGTTCTTGTTGGGTTTTCGTCGCTAAAACATCTCCAACACCATCTTCCTCGTCTTCCACTTCCAAAACATCATTTGGGTTAATTACACCTGGTTGCGATGTGGATGGTTGCTTGAACTGCGTCATACAATCTCGTCCCATGGCATCCTTTAGGCATGTGTTCGTGCTGACTTCGTTGAAATTATCAAGTACGTGCTGGTACACAGCAAGAGCATCTTCTGGACGCGACATAAGACGTTGAACTCCAGCGAGACCTCTAAGTTCATAGTTATAAATTATTCGTTTTGAAATAAGAACTAACCTAGAGAAGACACGACATAACTTCTCATATGAGACGTTATATTTTGTTTCTTGTTATGAACCAAACGGAATATCACTGTCTCTGGTGAATATACTATTGATGATCCCGCATCATGCGTGTTTCCATGTCCAGTAAGAAGTGTCTCTCGAAGTGTTCCAAACTTTTGAAGTACTTTATCACGACATGCTAGGTCAGCAAGGAAAATATCATCAGCCGCTTGTCCGATGGCCCTCGCTACGGAATCTCGCAACTTTTCTTTTTCCTCTTTGTACTGACGCTCCTCTACGGCACTGAAGCAAATTCGTTTTTCGATTTCTGTCAACTCCGGAAGATCGATTTGATGTTCCACATCTATTTTCATTTTTCTACTCATGATACGACCAAGTATCTCGAGAAGGAGAATCGGCGGCAGATCTTTTGGATTTTTCTCATCAAACAATTCCTTTTGATCATGAATTTGAAGTACGAAATTGAGGTACTGAGGATGCACATAATTAGAGAAAAAATCCGTGTTGTTGTAGGGGAACAAATCCAGAAATGTGAAGAGGGGATTCATGTCGGAAATAGTTCTGACAAGAGGAGTTCCCGTAACACACCACCAATTAATTCCTTGAAGTTTTATCAGCATCTGAGATAGATTAGAGGTGGATGTCTGTGGCATCACTTGTGATTCATCGACAATAACTCTCCAGAATTTGACATGAACCAGAGAAGTTGTCAAATAATAATTGATCGAGTTGGTCCGAAAGTTTCTTCCTGTAAGATTGATTTTTTTCAATTAAAATGAAGACAATCCTTACTTTGATCTTTTTTATCAGAAAAGTTCATTTCTCTACGAAGTGTGTCGTATGTTGTCAGAACAACATCAAATTTATCCATTTCGCACGGTTGCAGATATCCGTGTTTTTTGACACCAAAATAGAACTGCAAAAAAAGATTTTATCTGAAATATGTTTTTCATGAGAGCTCTTACCATCACTTTGAAATCATCCGAACAGTGTTTGGCAACCTCAGTGAACCATTGGAAAATCAAACTTTCGGGAACTATGATCAATGTGGTTTTCACCAAACGTCTGGTGTTTTTAAGAGTCATACACTCGGGACAGTAAAACAATTCGTCATCACAAGTATCGAAATTCCATCCACATACAGAAGCAGTGCATATTACTCCACACCCTTCACAGTTCACAGTCTTGCCTTTTATAGCTTTCTCAACGTTATATGTTGTTGGACCTGTGCTGGTTTTGGCATTATTCTGAAAATTAACAAAATTGTTGTAATGCAAATAACCTTTATGATGTTACCATTTCTTTGTAACTATGTTCTGCAACTCGCACTTGTTCTGCAATTGTATAACTTGGTGCACCTTGGCTCCTTGAACTAGTTGGTTTTTGTTCCGCTTTATCTTCCTCGATGATTTTTTCTTCGTCTTTTCTAGCAGATGAGATCAGAGCGAGAACTTCGACAGTCTTTCCAAGACCCATTTCATCGGCGAGTAGACCTCCTTTGACAGTGTATTTCTTAGAAAAACTTTGAAGATCTTCTACACTCGGTTGATGTCTCGCGACGACTCCAATGAATGAATAATAGAATAGTGGGGGATCACCGGGAAGCTCATCGAATTTCAGCCATGACAGATTGAGATCTATTGAGTTTTCCGCTTCACGCTGGATCATCCATCGGACAGTGTCCTGCTGGTACGGCATTAGGCGGGAGTTTAATGTATTGGTGCTGAAAATTCTTTCTCATTTTGAATAATTTTGCAAGTCACTACTCACTCTAATTTGTAATTTGGAATAGGTTCCTCATTTTTCTTTTTATAAATTTCAGCCAAATCGAACAATTTTTCGAAATTCAAGTCTCCATGCTTCCTTTGCTCATCCATATCTCCCTTCTCGTCGTGGATCACATCGACGTCAAACGGTTTTAGACCGCCTTCGACAATAGTTCTCATGACAATATGCACTCGTTTTTTGAACATCATAGGCAATACTGTGGGACTGTCGAGAATGGATTCAAAAACTCTGTCATGCTGTAGATAGAAATCGATGCGAATATGTTTTGAAGGAAGAATTTCATAGAGCAGGAAGACGCCAGCGTTAGCGAGTAACCTGAAAACCAGGATTTAAAAAATGACAATAACTTCCAGATATCGTACTTTGGCTCTTTGCTGAATCTCTCAAGCAGACAAATGAGAGGATGCTCAGACTGTGGTTCGGTCTTCTGGATGCATCGACCAGGGATGTAGGAGTGCATGCCCTTCCAAGGTGATTTTTGCTTGCGTTCCGTCTCCACATAGAATGAAAACTGAAAATCTTAGACCATATTAACATCCTAGGCATTGATTGAGCTTGGACACGCACCCAGATCGTACAATTGAGTGGGCGTTTATACCAAGTCAAAAGGGCGGAGTTTAACATCACAAAAGCAATATGATAGAATGATAGAAAGAATGCTTTAAAGCACTCAATCATATTAAAAACGGGGTGAGTCACCCGGACAGAGAGTGCTATCCTTAGATCCAGCACAGACTTTCCATTTGTCCTCAGAACCTTCTAATACTCACATAGTCTTCGGAAACGCTTCTACAAAGGAATAATGTACTTCTCGGCAAGTTCTCCTCGGTGAACTGAAAATCGGAAGTGATCGAGTTGAGTAAGACGTTTGGGGCAGATGTGGAGGCACCAATAGTTGAAACATTTTCTATTCGAATCACTCGACTTCTCGGCAACTCATCCCAATCCTGAAAAGTAATTTTAAAAATATAAGAATTAAATTGATTTCGGATTTTATTATTTTAGCTTGGTCCCTGAAGATCAAGCCTTTCCGGAGAGAATGTTCCTAATTTTCTCGTTCTGTTTCATTCTTTCAAAACATGGCCCACCTGTTCTTCCGATTTTTTCTTGTGCTTCGACATGGTATCACCTGAAAATAAACACAATTTGTTGAACGGTGATTCCTGAGAAGAATGTCAACTTCAAAAAGCTACAAGACAACATGGAGACATATTTCTCATTAAAAATGAGCAGGCTATGCTCATAATAACTAAATATGAAAGTGCAATCGATGGGACGTAGAGAGGGGAAGTCTTCTGAAAACAATACGTCTCCAAAGAGCGATAACACGAGAGATGTAAGCATTAAACGCGGAGACGCAGGCAATGGGGCGCGATGCATTGGAGTTCTCGGCCAGTGTCTGCCACCCTCTTGTTTTTGCATACACTCTCGCTTCTCAATGAAGATTCTGGTTTCATTCCGCGTGTTTGCTTGGTCATTCAGTTGAATCGTTCTCTCTGGATTTTTCGTTTTGTCACCTGCACTCTCTTTTTCACTTTGCTTATTGATTAGAAGTTCAGCTAAATCTCTTTTTCATTTTTTTCCCAGTTGTTTTCCAGAATCATGGATTTCTCAACAATGATGAATGCGGCGAATAAAAACGCGAAGAAAGCGTCGCGAGAAGTTGATCGAATACAAGAAGAGGTATCGATTTCAAATCAATATTTCGAAATGTAAAAAAAACAATCATTTGCAGGTGAACAGTGAGAAAAATGAAGCACGCCGTCAATTGGAAGCCGAGAAACGCGCGCGGCTGGAAATTCAACGGAGGAAACAGGAGAAAGAGCAGGAATTAGCCAGAAAGCGGAAGGAAAGAGAAGAAGAAGAGCGGCGTAAGGTGAGAATTTCGATTATTGTTTCCATGGAAATGGGGTGGTTGCTAAGCCAAAGTAGAGGATTATCTCTACTAGATGAACAGCCTAATTAGAAAATGTCCAGGGATCCATAGGGTGCATCTAGGGTAGATTAATTTTCCATGGTCCCCCAACTCAAAGGGGGGGGGGGAGGGATAGATGTTAAGCATTATCCCAAGAGCTAAATTTAATCAACTCCAAAGGGACCGTTCGTAAGAATGCTCACACTCAGATTGTTACAATGTCATCGTAAAAATTCTCAAAGAGCACATCGAGCAAATCACCTAAAATGTAACGGAGCGAGGATGGCTTCGACTGATTTCTCAAATTTTTTAGTCTGGGTTGATGTAGAGTTTCAGTATTCTCCACTATTCTGGGATTTGTAGTTTCTTTGACAATCAATTTCTGATTGAAATATTAAAAAAAAATGGAACTGTGGAAGAAAAACGACAGTGGCCGAAGATTCCACAACGACAACTACCGTTGTCTGAAAATATTTAAAATTTCCTAACTTATTATCCCGATTTTCTCTCATTTTTTCATTGTCAAAAATTTGTATTTCCGACTTGTTTAGGGAAAAATAACAGGAAACTTGACGAGAAGCAACAAACATCGAGAAAATAAATCCGGAAAATACAAATAGTTTTAGGTTACTGTAGTTGAAATAATGTTTTAAGCTTCGAATTTACTAAAATCTCAAATAGGTCTATTCATCCGAAAATCTTAACGATGCGCTATTGGAGTATTTATGGATATATTCTTGAAGAGCTGATAAAATGAGCCATAAGGCCTTCTGCTGATTGTCGAAATTTTCAGAACTTTACGATTCCAAAACGTGATGGACCATCATCCTCATCCTCATCTGTCAACACTGCTGCTGTTCGTGCAGTTCTGGAACGTCAACGTGCCGAAAAAGAAGCGAAAGAAAAGAAAGCTGAAAGTGACAAACAGAAACTTATGGTTTTGAGAATGCAAGCAAACGGTGGAAAAGCTACAAAAAAGATGGGAAAGCAGTTTGGATTAGATGTGATTGATCTTCAAACACGCTTCGGAGGTAACAACGAGCATCTGGAAACTTTGCAAAAGAGAAAATGGAAAGAAGAAGAAGAGGCCGACGTCGAAGCTGATAAATATCGTAATGGAGTATATAAGGCACTAGCAGCCAAGCAGAAAAATGAAAGCGCATTGAGAGCGACTGTTCAAGGTCCTCATCGGGTCTCTACCAGTAAATCCAACAGTTTAGCCGGATTGTGCTCTCGGCATGAAAAAACGTAAGTAACAAAGTTCTTAATTGTCCCATTACGGTACCTATTTCCAGGCGAGACACATTTTCTCCTCCAAAAGATGGCAGAAAAGTTCCAGAAAAACGCCAGCCAGTGGTTGAGAAAAAGAAAATTCAACCAGCAGCTCCGATTGATTTCCAGTGAGTTCTTATAGTAGTTTATAGAAATAAATTTCATTTGATTCAGAAAGCTAATGGCTGCCGCTGACAGTCTTTCCCAAGGAAAAACGGTAAATTTGGACCATCTTCAAGCCAGACCTGCAAAATCGGTTCAAATGCAACAAAAGTGGGTTATATAAATCGGTCATATCTCCTTTCGACACTTGTATACATTTCAGATCCTCATCTTCAAACGGTCAACAGAAATCTGGACTTAGCAGTTCTGATCGAGAGAAATTAAGAGAGAAGGAAAGAATGAAAGAAAAACAAGAAAGGCAACAAGAAGCAGAAAACCTGAGAATGAAGGAAAAGGAAAGGGAAAAAGCTCGGAGCGCTGCAGCTGCTTACCATAAATCAGCCGCATCGAAAAGTCAACCATCGTCATCTTCAAACGGGTCCAGCAGTGCACCTCCGAAAAAAGAGTAAACGCCGGTTTTTTTGTTTCGTTTCTCAACATTGAAATAGTTCCAGAGTTCGAAAACCGTTTACCAAGGCGCCAACACCTCCACCACTTATTCCTGCTGCCGTTCCCGGAAAGAAATATCTTCCCGGAGATGTGAGATACAAGGAACAACAGTCCTTGATCAGGGCCATCGCTGCAGCACCTGGAAGTTCCCGATCATCGGCTCCTCTCCCGCAGAATAGTAGTGAGTCAAATACTGTATCGAAATTGTGCATCAAATATAAAATTGCAGAAGAACGAGCTCAAGCGGTTCGCGAAGCTGAGCGTCAACGCGAGAAGGAGCGAGAAAAACAGAGAGCTATGAAGCGAGCACGCCAAGAAAGAGAACAAGACGAGTATGATAGGAGTAAGAAGGTCCAGAAAAGAATGGATAAGCCTGGTCCTTCGTCGTCGTCTTACTCTTCATCCTCGTCAATGAAGAACTCTGATAGACGTAGCTATGAAGCTCGTCGAATGGCAGAACTACGTGAGCAACAAATGAGAGAAAGAGAAAGAAAGAAGAAGATGATGAATAGGGATCGAGATTCACGAGGTGGTGGCGGTGGTAGCTTCTATCGAGGAGGTGATGATTACAGTGATGAAGAAGATGATGATGAGGACGGGGTATAAAACGAAGATTCCATCTTTATTTAAAAATGAATAATTGATTTTCAGTACGAAGATGAAGACGACTACAGTGATATGGACGATTTCATTGATGATGACGATATTGATATGGACGCAGCGCATAGAAAAGAATTAGAAGATACTTTCAAGTTTGTTTTATTCAAGTTCAATGCACAATTCTTATTTTTAAAAAATGCACAATTCTTATTTTTAAAAACAATTCTTATTTTTAACAATTCTTACAATTCTTATTTTTAAAAAGTTCAATGCACAATTCTTATTTTTAAACTTTAGAATCGTGAATCGGAGATACGATACGAATGAATGGTCTCGTCGTGAAAAGATGATCTCCGAACGAGACATGCACTCCGACTTCCGTCGGATACAGACGGAAGAGAACTATTCGAAACGTGCTGGATATATGGAGGACCTAAAGGAAGCTTCCAAAGGAAGATCAGTCAGACTCTAATACTCATTTTTTAGTATTTATTTCTCATATAGTTTTTATTTGATATACTATAATTTATCGTTTTTTCTAAGTCAGTCAACTCTTTCCAGCTCCCCAATATTTGTGATATACCTTTTTCTTTCGATTCCAATCGCTTTCAAATACGTTCCCGTTTTATGTTTCATTGAAGAAGAAACAGGAATCTTTCGGTTTTTTGAATGTCCTCGTTAATATTCGATGCCATTTTATTATAGTCTTTTTTTCTCGGTCGATAGCTAGCTCCATAATCAATATTCTCTCGAATAAAAATGATTTTATCACTTAATTATTGTTCTTTTGTGTGAATCTCGAATTGGGTACCCGACCCATCAGTAATTTTTGAAGTTTTTCTTGTTTTCTGCTATCTTTCACGGTTTCAGTTGTACAAAGATGTATGTAACAAGAATAGGAATCATGTTTCTGGAAAGGCAGGTTAGCAAATTAGTCTTGATTTTCGTTTGAATGATTTGTTTAGAAAAATCAGAATTTCAAAAAAGAGTTGTTTTTAAATTTTGAGTTATTTTAGCACCTTTGTAATTTCATCCATCTACCGTGTTTGCTGTAACAGAAGAACACGTCATGCGTGCTCAATTATCTCGGTTCCTATGAGAGATATCAAAGATCTGTCAACTGGTAAATTATTTATCATAAAACCACTTATATTTTACCAGTTAAAAGGTTGTGATATCTTTCGAAGGAACCGATATAATTGAGTTCCAAGTTGACTACTTGGGTGAGCTTCTAACGATAAATTACGAGGAAGATTTCAAAAAACTAGAAATTTGAAAATTTTTGTTTTTGCAATTATTTGGTTTTTTTGGATTAACAAAAATTGTAAAAGTTTTTATTCTTGTCATCAGCTAGAAATTGGTATGATCGGGAAGTAGGAAAATCATCACTGTTTGAAATAATCCAAATGAAATTTGTCGCATTCACTCTAAAAATGTTAGAAGCTCACTCAAATCGTCAATTTTGAGCACAATTATCTCCATTCTTTCAAAATATATTTAAAAAAATTTGTCGACATAATTTAATTATCATAAAATCACCAATATTTCATCAGTTAACAGATTTTCGACATCTCTCATCTATATGTTATAATAGAAGCCTACCCAAACTGTCAACTTTGAGCTCAATTATCTCGGTTACTTCAAAAGATGTCAAACTTTTGTTAAACGATAAAATATTATTGATTTTAAGACAAACTTTTTATCAGTTGACAAAATTTTAGTATCTTTCGAAGGAACCGATATAATTGAGCTCCAAAGTTGACTCCTTGCGTGGGCTTCTGTTAGAGCATTTACGGTGTTCTATCCGCATAGTCCAGACTGAAGAAATTTCATTTTTTACAAGTTCTAAAAGTTACGAAATTTCGTTTTACTTTCTGAATTTTCAGGCTGGCCCCGTCCTCTTCCTCCAACATTTTCGGCCACTTAATAATTCGACCCGCAGGATATATCATCATTATCACCGACTACAAAGATGCTGCTCATCAGTCGCTGGTGGGAGTCATGGCCAGACGACTTTGCAAGAGGAAAGAGAAAAAATAGGTCAGTGTCAGGTGTTTGTTGGAGCTTTTGAGTTTTACGTTGGCTCCAAGATACAAAGTGTATAGTGGAAAGGTTGGGAACATAGAACAGTGTGGAGGAGACGAATTAAAAAAATAAGCAGTACGACATGTTTGAGATGTTAATCGGATAGAAATGAGTGTGTGAAAAAGGTGAACTGCTGACTGATGAGTTTTTGAAAATAGATTACTGTTTGATAATGACAATAATCCTTAAGCACTTTGTAGAAGAATTTGGGTTACGGTAGAATTTTTCAAAAAAATTACAGAAAAAAATGACAGAAAAACTGACAAACTGAGTGGAGTTGACAGCTTTTTAATATCTTTTGAAGGAACCGGGATAACTGCACCTATAGCTTGTGTTCTATCAGAGCAAATATGGTAGCTCCAGTTTTAGCTCTTAAAAATTCCAATCAACATTATAACATAGGAGCTTTGAAAATGTATATCTCAGTTCCTAGGCACTTCTGAAACGTCTGAAATTCATTTTTTCCAAATCTGAAAAATGTCTAAAAATCCAATTTCCATTGCCAAGGCAATCCCATGTCAGTTCATTCGTTTTCACCCCATTCTCTTTTTGTTGTCTTTTGAGTCCAACATGCACCCAGTGCATCCAGAGCTTTCCCCCGTTGCTCTCCAACTTCCTGTCCCCATCTCTTTCACCTTCTGCGTGTCGTCCACTCGTTCAGTTCCTCATTATTTGGGCGCTTTTTGTGCTCCGTATGTCTCATTTTTCGAGAGAAAGGGACATTGAGTGTCTGTCCCCGGCTGGTATTAGAGAGACACATTGCCACATGCTTTTCACATTGACATTCCCTTTTTGTTTATTTTAGGACTCTGTGTTCTAGGACTCTTGCTATGCATTTAGAAGCTTATTTGTCAATGACTAGATAAAATTTGAATATTTAATGATAAATTTATAATTAATATTCTAAGAATAAATAATTCACATCTTCTGGAAGAAACCTTCCAGAATCCTTCTATTCTCATAGTCATGGAATTCCAAAAATCTAGATTGTTGGTTCCTCTGAACTCTTTTCCATTTTGTGACACTTCATAAAAATGTTCGAGAATCTAAGTGTTCAAATCGTCACTTTCTCATAAATTTAAATCATAAAACTTTTGGTTTCACAGGAAGAAATGAGTCTCAACCCAAAAAAAAAAATTACGATCCTAATGTAATCTGCTTGTAATAAAACCATGAAATTCTCACATGACAATAATGACCTTGTAATCTTTTTGATAACTCCTGGCTCCGCCCCTTTTCTGAAAATGTGCTGATAGGGGGTGATAAGCTGAAAACGTGACAAGAGATGACAAGGGTTTTAGATACATAAGGACGAGGAAGTTTAGAGCCTTTACTACCATATTCAATTTCAAATTCGATGAAAATCTAGAGGCATTCCAAACTCATTGGTCCCATGAAAATAAATATATTTTTCCCGTCCAAGAAAAAAGTGCAAAAAAGATATCCGAGATATTAGGGAACTTCCCAGTGAGTGAGGATGCTAAACAGAGACGAAGGGTCGCGAGAGCCAGTTTTTTTTTCCAATTGTTCCTCTTGGGCTTTTGTCCACTACCTTCGGAATTTTGGATCTCCACCTCCTAAAAATGCTTGCTCTTTCCCACTAAAAGCCACATTGTAAACGTCATTTCTAACTTCAAATCTACTTGAAACTTAAAGCCAAAATGTGCTTCTCGTTTGCTATTCGTAGACCTATTCGTCATGTCTTTTGTTCCAAAAAGAAACCCCATCGTCACTCTCCCCCAGGTGGTTCTTCCGGCATTTGATTTTTCGATTTTTGTACCTTTCCCTGAAATTCTCGGCAGATCGGGTGATTTTCGTGGAGTCAATCTGCCACCGAATGACACCAATTTTTTTGAAAAAGAAATAAGTTTCATGCCAGTTTAATAAAAAAAAATGACAGCTACCGGACATGATTTTTGATACAGAGATAAAATGACGAGGGAGCACATTGACATTTCCTAGTACAGCTTTCGTTTCTTTTTGCTGTGCTAGAAAAAATCTTAAAATCCCAAACTATTAGAGAAGTCTCCTCATTTTAAGATTTTCCTAGAACAACATATAAATCTGATTCTATAGAACAACAAAAATCTAAATCTTCTGATTCATCACAAGTCTAAAATTGGCACATTATGAATAACACTTATTTTCTGCGTCTCTTCGTCTCATACACTCTCTCCTTCTTGAATTTGGCTTCCACTCTCTGTTCTCTGCATCTTTTCGAAGCCGAAAGCTCAACTGAGTATCAAATGTTCGAGCGCCGCCCCTCTCCGGGAAGAGTCTGACCCGATTCGAGCATATCCTACACTTTCGTCTTTCTACAATTTTTTTCTGATATTGCTTTCAATATATATTTTTTCAAATTTTCAGATACATCCAACTCCTTCTCAGTCATCTTCCCACCACAAAGCTCGTCTTCAATAATGAGCCCATCACCGGTTTGGTGTGAGGGAACCCTTCTCCATGCCGTCCAACTTTCCGGTCTCTTTCCGGATTGTAAAACTTTTGTGGATATGCCTTTGAAGTATGATGCAGGTGAGTACGATCTAGAAAATTTTTCGAATTTGAAAAATTAGAATTATGGATAATAGCCTTTAGGATTTCTTTGAAATCTTCCTAGAACTGAATACCAGTTATTTTGAATAACCATAACAATAATGAATCATCAAATTTTCTATAAAAGGTGCTGAATCCTAAAACCATTGAACACTTTTTTGGCTCCCCGAGATGACTCTCAAATCGGCTCTCCTCGCTGCGCTCCCATTCACGTGAAAAGCTAGTGAGAAGGAGCGGAGTGAGCTGAGAACGGATGGATGACGAACTAGAAAAAAAAGAGAAAAGAGAAAAAAACTGGTTGTTTTTCTTTCTTTTTTTGTTCCTCTTTCCGTCGAGTCATCTGGCTCACCCGAAGACTAAAAGATGAATGGCTTTCTATTTTAAAAAAAAACCAAAAGATTACTGTACCTCGAATCCGAAAATAAGTTTTCAGACGTTACCCTCGCCAAATGGAATGCTTTACTAGCTCTCGCTCCAATCACAAATGACGTCTTGGCTCTTTTCCTTCGGGAAAACTTTGATGAACCAGAAGGCGAATTAGAGGAGTGCGCACCGACTGATTGGCTTCCAATGACTGACCAATTTGGAGATATTCTAGATGAAGATTATAAAAAATTCGCAGCAGCACTTCATGCAAAATGGCCAACTCTGTATAGAAAGATTTCAAAGAAAGTTCGAGTTAATCCAGAGAAATATTCAATTATCCCGGTGCCCAATCCATTCGTCGTTCCCGGTGGACGGTTTCGTGAAATGTATTACTGGGACTCGTTCTTCACAATCAAGGGACTTATTGCATCCGGAATGTTGACTACTGTCAGAGGAATGATTGAAAATATGATCTACCTTGTTGAGACATACGGATTCATACCAAATGGAATTCGTATCTATTACCTCAACAGATCCCAGCCACCACTTCTGACATGGTGTGTAAAAGCATATTACGAAGCGACTGGTGATGTAGAATTCGTGAGAGATGCACTGCCAACTCTGCGGAAGGAGCTTGAATTCTTCCAAACTCACAAGTCATTTAAACGCGACGAATGGATATCTCCTCTCTATCGATTCGTTGTTGAGACCACTCGGCCACGACCTGAATCTTACAGAGAAGATTTAGAAAGTGCTGAGCATTTGGATTCCTTTGAAAAGAAATGTGTTCTTTGGGGAGATTTAGCTGCTGCAGCAGAAAGGTAGCTCCTTGATTTTAAAGATTCCTACTAAAACTTATGATTTTCAGTGGTCGAGACTTCTCATCTCGATTCTTTGCTGTTCATGGGCCTTATGCTGGACAGCTGGCAAGCACCCGTACATCCCAGCTAATCCCTGTCGACTTGAATTCGATCATCTGTAGTAACATGAAGACATTGAGCGAGATGTATGTAATCTGCGGAGAGACAGAATTGGCTCAACACTTTTACAATGAGCATCGGATGTTGAGAGCAACTATTCGACAAGTTTTATGGAATGAAGAACACAATTGCTGGTTTGATTTCGATCTGGAAGAGGATAAACATGCGGTTAGCTTCCACGATACCAACTTCTTCCCAATGTATTGTGACAGTTATCATGAGGATCTGGACTCCCAAGCGGTAAAGTTATCAATCGATAAATGTATCCAACCTGAAAACTTACAGATCGTTGACTATCTCACCACATCAGGAGTTGTTAGCTTCCCAGGAGGAATCCCAGTTTCACTAGTCAATTCTGGCGAGCAATGGGATTTCCCTAATTGTTGGCCACCAACTACTTGGGTTCTTCTGGAAGGATTACGGTAACTTTTTAGTTTTAAAAGTGCAAAACCAATTATTTGATTTTCAGAAAAGTAGGTCAGGAAGATTTGGCATTGAGTTTGGTGGAGAAGTGGGTGCAAAAGAATTTCAATATGTGGAGGACCAGTGGAGGCCGCATGTTCGAGAAATACAACGCCGTTTCTCCATGCTACAAAGTGAAAGGAGGCGGTGAATATGTAATGCAAGAAGGATTCGGATGGACGAATGGAGTGGTTTTGGACTTTTTGAAAAACTACGGATCACAAATTAGATGGAAAATTGCCGAATCTTGCGAATGCTGTGATGTCACACTATCACGTACCCTCATCAAACCAACATCTCCTGCACCATCATCCTCATCGACTGCTCGTTTGTTCGCCAGCGATTTGTCACAAACACCTTCAGTTGGGTCTCTTCAATCAATGCTCTCGGATAGTTCAATTCAGAACTAACATTTCTAAATTTCTAATTATATTTTATCTCTTCAATGCGGTTCAACCTTTTTCTTGTCAATAGTATTTAATAAAATTGTAGATGCACCTGATTGAAATTGAAAAAAAAATTTATTAAAACATAAAAATCAACAAAAATACAGAGAAATTAACATTCAAGAAAACCAAAAAATTGTTCGAAACAACTGTAGACAGGGGTGGATTTCATCAAATTCTCGAGTCTTCGTCGGAAAATTGTCAGGTGGCGTTCTCCATTCACTTCGCTGAGCGTTGATCTTCGCAGCTTCGACAACTCATTTCCGAATTCTCCAGTTTTCGACTCATTCTTCATCGTCTGAAATAGAAACTTGAGTACTTGAAATTAAAAAAAAAAAATGATATAACTTACCACTGCCATTTGCACGAGAACCTCTGCCACTCGCGATCCCATGACGATTAGGAATGCGTGATCCTTGATATACCACGAGATGAGAGAGGGTTCTTGAGCCAATAGTGCCGCTTTGGTCTTCTGCTCAAAAACTTCATCAAGGAGAAGTTGGAAGAGCGTCGCGCATAGTTTCTCTTCTTCCGATGAGCATGCCTTCTTGAGCTCTTTGAATGCTCTGGCAACTCGACCAATCTTCAGCAAATCTTCATCTTTCTCAACATCTAGTTCCATATCAAAGATCATTTCAATGAATTCCGACCCTTCATCGCCCTCAACTGGGCTCATCACAATCTCAAGGAATGTGAGCATCAATCCAGTATCAAACAGGGTTACTGTATGAACTTTTTTGATGAGCTCCAGGAGGAAGAACCGATAGGTTCCTGACATGGAATCAGATAAGAAAAGTTGTTGAAGTTGTTTACGAAGCTAAAATTATAAAAATATGCAAATGTCAAAATTTTGAATAACTAACCTCCAACCGTTGCTGAATTTTCTCATTCATAGCCAGCACAGCCTCAACCATGTCGTCCATTTCGTTGTCGGCAACTGGTCCAGTGGCTTCCATCACCGAATCCTCAAGAGATCCCACCATAGTCCAAACGAAATCAAACAGAGTCGAGACTCTTTTCTTTGCTGATTCCGAAGAAACAGAGCAGAACTGAAAGAAGGATTAGTTTTCGGAAACGTCAGACTTTAACTTACTCCTTTGATGATGTCTCCAACTTTTTCAACATTTCTCTCAGCGCTCCAAACTTCCTTGAGAATGTGTTGAACATTTCCGAATTCATCTGGAGTATTTACCGTGGCCAGCAGTCTTCCAAGATCGTACAACTGGGAACCAGCAGCTGCTCCATTTTGGAACTTGACCATGTTGACGTATCCTTTGATGGCTGTGAGCCAAGTGTAGGAGGCGAGAGCGAGAGAAGCCATATCAGAGTCTGAAGAATCAAAAGTTGAACTAGAAATGATGAAGAACTTACAAGTTATCCTCTCCATAACATATTGGAGAACGTGGGCTGGTTGGTTCTCGAAGATACCGTAGGTGGACATGATTTTGGAGATCTGAAAAAATAGTTCGGTAAGGTTGGACAGGTTGAAAGTAGAATGAGGAAGAACGTCAATGAACAAGAATAAGAAAGGACTAAGTGCCTTAAGAAGGCGGACGACTGATCCAATGTGAAGAGGAACACAAAATCCAGGTGGGTTTTATAATTCGAGGAACCCAAACGTATTGATGAGCCTTCTGGGAAACTATTGACAGAATGTGTAATGAAGACTTGTATCAACCGAAGTCATGTTCTTCTTATAGTTGTGAAAATGGACAAAACCTTCGATTTTGAAGATCGGATTACCGTAATCAACTTTGAACCCACAACTCTCATTTTTTGTGAAAGATATTAAAAAGTAGACAACTAGACGAAATATCGTTTGCTGTAGTTGTAGTCAGAGGAGGCCATGATTCTAGAAAATATGTGGTTCACCCTAGAAGAATAAGCGAAAAAACCCAATAAAGCATTACTCAAGAAAATCCAGCAACTCGGTATAGAGAAAGAGTACGGTAATAAACAGGCATATATTAGTCATTTAATTTATAGGTCCAAACATTCCCAAGAGCGGATTCAAAAGAGGTGCAATTATATTGCCTGTACAGTGAGTTTGATATGTGTGAGATGTCCTGACACTCTAATAGGAATCCAAATTCAAGTTTTCCCCTATCGGCTGTCAGTCTTTAAGCTCTGGTCAGAAGTTGAACGGGGTTCGGCTTTTGGGCGGGTATTGGCCAGGTTCCGTTTGAAACTTGCCGGCCATAATCAGATTTCGGTCAGAAATTAAAACTGAAATACTACTAGGTCGGAACCTTATCATAAGTTTGCCGGAGTTTGATCTGTGTTAGTAGCGGTCTCATGTGAAGCTCCCTGACCTATACTTTCACAGTCTCCGATACCGGTAGTCTTTTTTCTGCCAGAACCAAAGAAAGATGTAAATATTATCTTTAAAGGTTGCCGAATAGGAACAGTACAAAACTTCATTAAAGTCCAAAACAGAGAAACAACATATATATGTACAATGTAACAGATAGGAAACGCCAAAAATGAAATGCATCATGCCTACAAAAGTCTCCCAGACGTGATGAACACTTCAGATTGTCAGCCGTTCTCTTCACAACCAGTACAGTGTCAAAGCGAGTCAAACTTCACTGAAACCAATAAATGTGCAATCAGGTAGTATTGTTTCCTGAAAATGAGAATTTTTTAGTCTACTGACAAAGTCTGCGATCACTTCAAAGTTTTTCTGGATCCTTTGGGTGTTTGACACTTCCAATATATTTTCTTCAAATACACCCTGAGTTTTGAAGCCCTCACAAGTTCACATTGTTACTCTTTTTTGCAGCAGCTCTAAGAATCTAGTCTAGACACTCCGTACTCCAAAAAAGTCTTACCTTTTAGATACAAAAATTCTGCTCATTACAATCTTTGGTTATCAAAAGTCTACATTATCACATTTCTACCAGTGATCATTGTTTCCAAGAAAGGATGTCTAGTATGCAGAGGATCAGTAAACAGGAAGATGTATTCTAGATTTCTCGTTATTGAAAAGATTGTCAGAATTTTTATTGACGTATGCGACAGAAAAGTGATTGAACGATATACAAATCATACAAAATATACATAACGGCAAAAATTCAGAATTTAGCGGTATGAGATGTCTCTGGTCCATGGGTACTTGTATGGTGAACAATGTAGTTATCTATATTTCCAGAGCGAATATCGACGATATGAGCTCTGTAAAATAAAGAAAGATAATTATTACGAGTCGTTTGAAAAACCGACCATGCCTTTTTTTACGAACAGCCAGCAGAAGTTCTTGATTTGATAGAAGAATTATTCCTCTGAAAATAGAATTGTTTTCAGAAGTTCAATAAAACGAATTATTACCCTTCGATTGCCAACATGAATGCCCATAGACTTGCATCCAAAAACAATAGAATCTTATCACTTATTAATGGAGCAGTGATTCTGTAGAATATCAGAGCAACACTCATTGAAAGACCTTGGAAGAAGGATTGACGAATAAAGTTAATCTCTCGCTGTCTTTGTTCCTTTGACATTCTCACTCCAGTTGTATCAGACACCATTCTGTGAAGTTTGCGAGCTTTGTATGCAGCTAACAGGTTAAGGATCATAGTTGAGATGACTAGTGACATGTTGAAAATGAAATCACAGTACCAAGTGAGATCATTACATCTCTCATCGTCTTCAGGAAAAGTGAAAATCCAGTAGTCCGGATCAAGATAGAGGTAGCAACCGAGAATCTCGTAGAATGTGACACACATGGCAACAGATACAAAAATAGCTACATTTCGGAGGAAGTAAGTGTTGAAGTTAGAGAAGATGCGATCATAAAGGAAAATCATGTAGACGGCACAGAATCGGTTCAACGAGTTGAAAAAGTTTAGTTGAGCAGCGATTTCATAGATTATCATCGATACAGTCCCCACAAAACGAGTGTAGTCGTGAGGGAGTTTGATAGGTCTGTAAACCATTAAACTATTCTCTAGTTTTATTGAAAAATCTTATTTTTAGATGCCACAATATTGTAGTTGATCAGAACAGGTATTGACCCACTTTTTGATTGTTTATGGGTCTTCAGTCGACTTTTAGTCTTTATTGTATGAGTCAGAAACCAAGGTAGAACCGGAACTCGAGTAAACTAGAACACCGTAAAAACTATATTAGAAGGGTACTTCGAATTGACCTAAGCACCCCACAAAAAATAGAAAGCCCTACCCTTCTAAAACATGTTTTAAGATATTTAGTCATATTTTATCACTCACGTTAATTGAAGGGGTCCAACAAAAATCAGGAAGAGAACACACATTAGAATGTTGCAGATTGCTTGGTTTTTGGTGATGATTCCGAATGAGCTTCTCATTGAATTTAGCTTTCTAGCAGTCACATAAACTATCATATTGGTGATCAAACCGAACGTCATTATCTAGAAGAAACAGAACTCATAAAAAGTTTCTCGTCAAAACTACAGCAACTGTGATCCAAGAATTGATGGCTACGGCGGAAATCATTTTGAGTGAGCGGATAAGTGGTTATTTCTGAAATGAAGCAGAAATCAGTCTGAGGAATTCCGAAAATCAGAAAGTAAAGGTACTCAGATTTTATTTGTAGCGTTTCTAATAATTGAGAGACAAAGTGTAAAATGATGATGGAAAAATACAATATGAAGATCAAACGAAAAAGCGAAAAGGAGAAAAAGGAGTAAAACTTCAAAGGAGAATTCATGCTTGAATAGTTTAAGAAATGATTATTAGAGAACTTATTACAGACAAGAATTTGAACTTTTCGAATTCTAATCAGAAGCTCGAAGTGATCTGGAAGAATTTTGATCACATGATGCATCTACCAAAAATTCATTTCAAAGATCATTACTGAAAAATACAACAAAGTTTTTGAAATGAAGATAGACATTCTGCTGGATACTGCCTCATAAATGGAAGTAAATTCAATATAAAGGATTAACGGAAGAAGAAACGTTATACTAACTCAGAACAATAGCTCAAACTTCGTCATCGGAAAACTGCCAGACAAAAGGAAAAAAGTTGTTAAAGTTCATGTTGATCGAATGATCATCGCTTGATCTCGATGTTTCCATGAGAATCCACGACTGCGTGGGAAATAGTCTGACATAAAGACAAGTAAGAAAAAGTGAAAACATTCTGACTTGTGAGAAAATTTCTGTCAAATAGAAGTTGCTTATTGATCATTATACGGATCCCGATTTCAAATGTACTTCCCTTGACGTTACTTGACGTAAATGAGCCTATCAGGATGCACATGGCTGGGCAATGAATATGTTCTCGGAATATGATGCATTTTTTCGCTTGATGTACAGAATATGATTCAGACGAAATCCTGAAGACCAGACGAGAAAATTCCCAACTTTAATAAACAATGAATTGGTGAACACAGGGTAATACATTAATAAAATATAGGAAAACATATTTTTCACTTGATTTTCGGTCATTTTGACCATTTCCAGGGCTCTGGAGCTCGGCTGTCAAGTTTATGATCACTTCAAAAACTATGGAGAGTGCGAAACAGACCTAGATTGAAAACTTTGCTATTACCGAACTTTTCGAAAATTCCTAATTTTTCAGTTATTTGTCGATTTCTGGAAGACACCTGCTTTTTTTCACGTATTCCGTACAAAGACGAGCCAAAATAGGGATCTTTCAGAAATCGACAAGTAGCTGAAAAACTGGAAATTTTCAAAAAATTCTGTAAATGCAAAGTTTCTCTTTCATATTATTCAAGTTTTTAAAAGTTATTGTAAACTTAACAGTCGAGCTCCAGACTTGTAAAAATGGTCAAAATCAACTGAAAAATACGTTGTTATCTTCTTGCAAATGGTAGAATTGCTAGATACACCTGAGATAGAGCTTTTGAAAAAATGAAATGTTTCAGACAATGGCGAATTGATATCTGTCTGAAGTAGTAGGTGTCTGACCGGATGTTTTCAGATAGATTTCGCGGGAATAGTTAGTAAGTCACGAAGATACGGAAGTCAGGAGAGAAAACAGATGATGTGAAATGGGCGGAGCAAACACTGTAGTTAAGAGGGTTGCTGGCAGAACTTTGAGATACAATCGGAAATGGTCAAGAAACGAAGACATTTTTTATATTAGTCAAAGTCACGGAACCGTTATCAAACGACATCTCTCGTTGGAGAGAATTTTTGCAAAGTGATCACGTTGCAGGTATAATTTTTTGATTTCTAGACGAAAACTATTCAAGCATTCAGAAAATTTGAAATCTTGTAGATGTGAATTCAGACGTGGTATATTCAAAACCTCAAAAGTACAATTATTCTAACTCAAGAAGACGTTAAGACTAAGAAAAGAGAACACAGGCAAAGTTGAGGAACATTTTGGAAATACAATAACCAAAACCAAATATGAAAAATTCTGCCATTGACCCATTTTCAGATCGAATTTCTAACAAAAAAAATTGAAAAAAACGTCAAAACCCTACCAGGAGAGGTATGGATATCAATTTTGGCTCCGGGTTTCTTGAATATAAAAACGAATTGCGCTTACAGATTTTCGATATCTCTTACCGGTTTCTCAGAACCGTGAAAATAGAAGCACTATATTTGATGATAATTCGAATGAATAAAACTGTTAAAAACAGGAAACGGTAGGGAACGAACACCAGATGTGCTTGAAATTGGAAAAACAGGTAGTAATGTAATCATCTATATTTTTACTAGACTATAGATGGAAAACGGAAATGTCTAACCATAATCTTGAATAATGTAAACAGTTCGTTGGAAACTACAGTACAAACGACAGTAGAAATTCGGGAATGATTTTATACTGTCTTGATAATAAAGTTCCTTGATAGACAGAAAATGACTTTTTGATCTAACACCAAATTGGCTCTATAGAAAACGAATACCGGAACAAATGTTCTGTTTTTTAAAAAGGAATCCTGTGTGACGTTAATTTCAATGAATTCTTTCATTTGTAAAATAGTGATGATCTTATGAACTGTTTAGTCATAGTGGCAATGAAACTGAAAAATGTCGAAAAATTAATGTTAAGAGAAAAAGCGAGGGGGTTCTTAAGCAGGTGAAATTCGAAAAAAAAACAAATGGTCATTACTTGGAACAAGCGGTAAGGATCTAAATGAAAAATAATTTGAAAACTTTTTTGTTGTGGTTAAAAACGGTTTTGAAGTTGAAAAAACCGGTGGGTTCAATGTTTTGAGCAATGAGATGACTTTACAAAAACAACAGAAAACAACATTATCTAGCATCCCACAAATATTCCCTTTTTATATAATGCTGATCAGCATCGATGACGTTTTCGGTTTTCGTAACTTTGGCGTGGGTGACAAATTTTCCAATTCGGTACACAATATGTTGGAAGTAGGAGATATGAAGAGTCAGGAGATACTACATATGAAGCTATGTTGAGGTGTTATTAGTTTCGAGATTTTTCGAGAAGAGCATGGAATATATCAGAAATAATGGACTGAAATAGAAAGCGGGTCACTGCTCTAAATTCAGAGAGCCCTCTAAACTGATTTACGGTAAACATGTCTGATGTAAAACTTTGTGTTTAGCGTAAAGTTTTTTAATAAGAACGGATATGCCTTTAAACCTGTTTTACTTTAGAAGAGTCCTTCTATAGAAAGACCCCTCTAAAAGAAAGGTCCTCCGAGATGGGCTTATTAATATAGAAACGTCCCTGTAGTTGAAGGACCCCACCCAATTCAAAATGTGTTGCTTGAAATTAAACGTTTTCAGTGAAAAATATTCCGGGACTTCCACATTTTCACAGCATTTTTTTTGGGCTCTAAATTTTGGTGAAATTGAAAAATGTTCATAAATTTTGCACAAAAATTCGGGCCCTAGTTTTGGATTCTAAAGAAAATTGTGGGTTTGAAATAGAATTTTGGATTTTAAAGAAAGTTTAGGATTCTGGAAAAATAGAAGGCCCCTTTAATTGAAGGGCCCTTCTGAGATGCTTGGAACAACATAAGGTCCGGTCCTTCCAATGCATGTTTAACTGTGAATGGAAACCGTTTGAAAACTTTCTGTAGATCCCGATAGTGGAACACATCAGTTTTTTGATTCCCAGAAAAAATTTCGTCATAAATCTTTGTTTCACCTGTATGCTCTGATAAAAAACATACGGCCCAGACAATATAATAAATATGTATTTCTTTTAGTTACTATAAACTTTCTGTTTTGTGCTTCTCTAATGTCATGCCTTCGTGAAAGTTTGCTCGGAAATACCTACCTTACATTTTCAGATTCATCTCCTAGGAATTCGTTATCAGAACTATCGGGTACAATGCATATCAAGTACAAAGACGGATGATGCTATTTCTGAAATTTAAATGTTTTCACAGGAATCTCTTTCGAAAGCTTTCAAGTAAAAAACTGGCTCACCAGTCTTTTTGTTTTTCACAGCTATGAGAATTTCTCGATTTGACAGAAGGATGATACCACTGAAAATTCCTTGATCTTTGAAATTAACCTTTCTAACTTACCCTTCAAAAGCTAACATGAATGCCCATAAACTTGCATCGAGAAACAATAAAACCTCATTTGTTATAAGCGGAGCAGTTATGTGGTAAAATATTAAAGCAACACACATTGAAAGCCCTTGGAAGAACGATTGTCTGATAAAATTGATATCCCTTTGTCGTTGAACAGACATCATGTTTTGGTCCAATGCCATGATTCTTTGGTGTAGTTTTCTAGCTTTGTAGGACGCTAATAGATTCAGAATCGAAGTAGAAACGACAAGTACAATATTGAAAATGAAATCACAATACCATGTGAGATTAGTGCAATAATCGGTCTCTGGATACGAAAATATCCAGGATTTCGGCTCGAAATAGAGATTACATCCTAGAATTTCATAGAAGACGGTACACATCGAGATGGAAATAAGATAAGACAAATTGATCATAATATAGGTTTTGAAGTTTGAGAATATTCGATCATAAAGAAAGATGGTGTGAACCGCAAAGAATCTGTTGACAGAATTTATAAAGTTCAACTGAGCCGCTGCTTCGTAAATCATCATTGCAACTAGTCCTACAAACCGAGATGACCTATATGATGGATTGAAGTCACTGTAATGATAAATTTTGAAATTGAAATGTTTCCATCTATGTGGTTTTCTGGTTTACTCCGGACGCATAAACCTACTGACGTTAATTGTAGTGGTCCAACAAAAATTAAAAACAATAGACACATCAAAATGTTACAGACTGCTTGATTCTTTGTGATAATTCCAAAAGAACTCTTCATCGAAACCATTTTTCTTATTGTCAATAAAACGATTAAATTTGCTAATAAGCCAAATGTCATTATCTGTAAAACAACTACCGTAAAACCTGTAATAGAAGGGCCCCACACTGTCAAGCATGAGCTCAATTATCTCGGCTTCTATAACTAGGCTATAAGAAAAATCAAAATTGTGTCAACTGATATATTATTTTTGATATTATGATTAGGCTTGTCAAACAGGCGTTTTTGGGTGCGCGTGCAAAAAAATTGGAATTGCATTTGCAACACACGCCGGTTTCAATTTTTGCCTTTGCAGCAAATGCAAAAATCTAAAATTGCATATTTCGCCAGTATTTTTTCAAACAGTCGTGAAACGCCTGTTATTTCCTTTTTGAGAAAAAAAATTGTCAAAAAAATTTATTAGACACTTTTTTGCAGGGTTGCAACCGGATTATTTTTTCTCCGGCCCAGCCCGGCCCGGCCCGGCCCGTCCGGAAGCCCCGGCCAGCCCGGCCCGGCCGGTTCGGATGCCTCTCGAGGAGTTTAACTTGTGAGGGCGATGATTGAGGGTGCGGCGCCGCTACCGACTGAGCCACGCGGGCAAAGAGAAAGCGCACGCCCGATTGCATACATAAAGGCGAGGACGACAGCTGTACGCAGAGTGACATTAAGCGTTGTACACCGTCACGGTAGAATGCATACTCTAGCTACAAAAAAACTACGAAAAATCTCCTGTCCCCCCACCTTTAACAGGTAGCATAACAATGTAAAAACCGTATAAATGAACAAGGGGAGCCTCTCATCGATAATTTACTCGAATTCTGAAATACTTGCAGACAGCTATCGATGTCCCATAAACATTTGATATTTGTCATCCATCTAGTCTCACACGAGAGGGTGATACCTCGTCATATCGGAGCATCGTTGCAAATAAAAATGGCGCGCGTTCAAATATTAATTAATTGCCGGCCGGCCGGGCCGGGCCGGGCCCTGGTTTTTTTCCCTCGGGCCGGCCAGCCCGTCAGATTGCAACCCTGCTTTTTTGAGCTAGGGACTATTGTAGGCTCTTTTTCTTTATTGTTGTGAAATTTCGACAGATCATTTTTGAGCTATAAATGTACTAATACCCTAAATTTTGTTTTAAATGCAAGATTTCAAGACGATACATCCGACCTTACAAGTGAAAGTTTAAAAAAAGTTGAAAATTTTCTGAAAACCTCTACAATGATATTTTCGAATACGCTGAAAACAGTTTCAGTGATATTTTCAGCCATTATTGTATGTGAGCCGAAATATGGACTCTTTTGAACATTTTTCTACCATCTAAAATAGTTTTTGAACCGGCCAATAAGTTATACAAAAAAGTATTTTATAATGCCTTTTTTATAATAATTTTCAGAAGTGTGTAGCTTGGCTGTCAAGTGTCCAATCACTGGGAAAATTTTGGAGCGCGTAAAACTATCCTAGATAGTAAACTTTGCATACACACAATTTTCGAAATTTCCCAGATTTACAGCTACTTGCCTTTTTTTGGAAAAATTATTTTTCCACCATTTTCAGTTTTGTCACATTATCAAAAGCGGCATTTTCAGAAATAGTATTTACCTAAAACTAAGAATTTTCAAAAAATTGTGTGAATACAAAGTTTGCAATCTAGGTCTGTTTTACAACTTTCACAATTTTCAAAATTATGGGACACTTGATAGCTAGCCCCAGACTCCTGAAAATGGTCGAAACAACCGAAAATCAACTGAAAATAGGTTTTTGAATGTTTTATTGACTGGTTCTGTACTGATATGAATTGGCTCAAAGTTAAAAGTTACGGGGCCCTTCTATTACAGGTTTTACGGTACGTCTGCATAAAATCTATAGAAGTTTAAACTTACAAAAACAGTGATCAAGGAATTTATCAATTGGTAAGACATGTTACTTGGAAGTTATGATATTTCGTGTTCAAAATAAAAACTTTTAGCGGTCAAAATGGAATCTATCCGAAGTTGATAACGATGAACAAGCAATTGAATGTCAGAACATGGACAAGGAATACGTTTTATGATTTTTATGTGATCAAACTCTGAAAATTCTGGAAATGTCAATGGCACAAAATTTGAGACATTTTCAATGACAGGTGGAGAATAACTGCAGAAAAAACGAAAAAGTGAATCTAAGGTTGGGGTGCTCTTGGAAAATGTTAATATATCAAGAATAAAAAAACTCGGGATTGTAGAGTCTCAAGTTCTAAACACGATGATGTGAATGCTAAATAAACGAAAAATGTTAGGTTCGCAATGATCGATCACTAAAAAAGAGATTGCAGAATGTTTGTTTCGTTGATCTGAAGTCGTTCTTCTCTAGACAGAATTATCTAAATAGCAATTAAATTCAGGCCGAAAATAATGGTGCATCTGCGTTTAAAAAAACGCCGATTCGTGATATGCTGAAAAAACGCCGGTGGTCGTGGCCCAAGGTCCCGAAACAACAACTACAGTAACCTAAAAATATTTTCATTTTCAGAACTTATTTTCTCCTTTTTAACTGATTTTTGTCAAGTCATTTTCGTATTTTCGTAAAATGATGAATGTTAATAGTGAAAAAATTGACGGAAAACGACGAAAATCGAGAGAAGAAATACGCAGAATGAAAATAGTTTTAGGTTACGGTAGTCGTCATCGTGTGACATTCAGCCACGAACACTTTTCTCTTACTCAGCTCCGATTTTTAGTATTAGAATAATACATAAAAGTTGAAAAGTACGCCCATTTCAGAAACAGAAAAAAAAAAATGAAAAATTTCCACATCCAATAAAATATGACTTTGACCTATCTTTTCCGGCTCTAGAATAAAATTCTGGTCCTTAGAAATAATTCTGATCTTTGAAGAGCCAAAAAAATTAGGTCATGACCTGAAAAAATTGGGTCATGACCTGATAAAAATCTAGGTCATGACCTAAAAAATCTAGATCATGACCTAGAAAAAAAAAGCTAGGTCATGACCTAAAAAAATCTAGGCCATGACCTAGAAAAATCTGGGTCGTGACCTAGAAAAATTTGGTCATAACCTAGAAAAAATTGGGTCATGACCTAGAAAAATCTGGGTTATGACCTAGGAAAATTGAGTCGTGACCTAGAAAAAATGGGTCATAACCTAGAAAAAATTAGGTCATGCCCTAGGAAAATTGGGTCACGACCTAGAAAAAATTGGGTCACGTCCTAGAAAGAGTTGGGTCATGACCTAGAAAGAATTGGGTCATGACCTAGAAAAATCTGGGTTATGACCTAGGAAAATTGAGTCGTGACCTAGAAAAATCTGGGTCATGACCTACAAAAAATTGGGTCATGACCTAGGGAAATTGGGTCACGACCTAGAAAGAATTGGGCCACAACCTAGAAAGAATTGGGTCATGACCTAGAAAGAATTGGGTCATGACCTAGAAAAATCTGGGTTATGACCTAGGAAAATTGAGTCGTGACCTAGAAAAAATGGGTCATAACCTAGAAAAAATTAGGTCATGCCCTAGGAAAATTGGGTCACGACCTATAAAAAATTGGGTCACGTCCTAGAAAGAGTTGGGTCATGACCTAGAAAGAATTGGGTCACGACCTAGAAAAAATTGGGTCATGACCTAGAAAGAATTGGGTCATGACCTAGAAAAATCTGGGTCATGACCTACAAAAATTGGGTCATAACCTAGAAAAAATTGGGTCATGACCTAGGGAAATTGGGTCACGACCTAGAAAGAATTGGGCCACAACCTAGAAAGAATTGGGTCATGACCTAGAAAGAGTTGGGTCATGACCTAGAAAGAATTGGGTCATGACCTAGAAAAATCTGGGTCATGACCTAGAAAAATCTGGGTCATGACCTACAAAAATTGGGTCATAACCTTAAAAAAATTGGGTCATGACCTAGAAAGAATTGGGTCACGACCTAGAAAGAATTGGGTCATGACCTAGAAAGAATTGGGTCATGACCTAGAAAAATCTGGGTCATGACCTACAAAAATTGGGTCATAACCTAGAAAAAATTGGGTCATGACCTAGGGAAATTGGGTCACGACCTAGAAAGAATTGGGCCACAACCTAGAAAGAATTGGGTCATGACCTAGAAAGAATTGGGTCATGACCTAGAAAAATCTGGGTCATGACCTACAAAAATTGGGTCATAACCTAGAAAAAATTCGGTCATGACCCAGAAAAATCTGGGTTATGACCTAGAAAAACCTGGGTAATGAAATAACAAATCTAGGTCAGGACTCAGAAAAAATTGGGTCATGACGTTGAAAAAATTCCATTATTTCTTTGAACACTTTGCAATGCAGGTTTGCACTCAGTTATCTCGATTGCTGTGAAAGATATCAAAAAATGGTCAACTGATAAAATGTTTGTTATAAAATGCTTGATATTTTATCAGTTAAGACTTTTCTGACATCTACATTCTACATTACAGTACATATTCTTGTGAATGATAAATTTGAACGACTATCATGAACATCTTTTAAACCCCTTTTGACATTTTTAGGTTTCTTTTGAATTCCGTGCCCGGCAATTTCTATTTTAAGTTTCCATCCATTCAGGAAATGTACTTACTATTAAAAACTGAACGGAGATGAAAATATTTGTGTTAAATTCGTTTCTTTCAATTATTCTTCCATCCAAAATTTTCGTAAATATATTATTGTGATGGCACCTTGTAATCCAAGAATATATTAAGTTCGTCCTCCAGATGAGAAAACGGCGTCAGAATTTGATTTCCTTCGTTCCGGAAGAAAAACAAAATAATTGGCAATTTGCACCCACTCCTGTTCCCATCAAACAACACAACAATTTTTATTCGTTTTCTGTTTTTTTATTCAGCAATTGATCCTTTGCGTGTCTAGAAACGTATCAAGGATTATAATATGTCTTTCGGATTCATTAGATAATTCTTAAGAACGTACGGATGCCCCTTCTTATTCTCTACTTCCGCCACAAGACCAAAACATGCTCCGAGGGTTCAAATTGTGTTTTTTCCTGAAATACACTGTTTCGAAAAATGATTTAAAGGAGGGGAGAAAGTAGGTTTTTATCAGCATGTTCCACCGTAGCTCAGCCGGTAAAATAACTCTGTACCTCCTACCACAGGTAAAATGCCAACGGATCCGTTTGGGTGTCCACTTTTCTATCCGTATCGGGTCCGTTACGGACAGTTTTGTGAATCTGAGTTCGCGAACGGATCCGTTTTTCATCATTCGCAATCGGACCAGATACGGAGTTCGCGTACGGTCCGTATACGATTCCTATTTCATCCGCGCGCGAATGGCGGAGAATCCGTAAAGGATTGTTCACGAATCACCTGTGACGGTGGTCCCACAAGTTCTACTCCTCGAGGAAAGGAAATTTCGAGAAAAGTGCTTTTTCATGTCCCATCACCTTCAAACAGTTTAATTATATTTTTTGGAAGTGATCAAATCCAAATTCGGAACGGATCTCTGATTGATGGAATTTGAAGACAGTTGAAAGAGAGTTTTCAAAAATCAAAATAAATATATTTATTGGCTCAAAAGATAATATCGTATAAAAGTATGTGTTCCAGTCGGATAGTGCTTTTTGTTAGTATGTTTTTCAAATGTTGTTGCTGCTTTTTAGTTTCGATGATCAAAAAATGCATATGTTTCATGAATAATTTAGTATCTTGATTTCATGTTTCAAGTTTGAGAGATTAAAGAATGTTTCATTTTCTAAGTTACAACATCCAACTAATTTTAGCAAAAGTTCTTTTTAAAATTCCAAAATTTTTTAAAATTCTAATATTCTAAAATTCTAAATTTCCGAATATTCTAGATTTCCAAATACTTTAGAATTCTGAAATTCTGAAATTCTAAAGTTCAAAAATTCGAAAACTTTTAAATTCTAAAAAACTTTTAAACCCTTTTCATATGGTTTTTGACATTCTTAAAAGTTTGAAAATTCTGAAATTCAAAGTTTTCAAATTTCCAAAATTCTCAAAAACACAATTTTTCCTAATTTTGATCATTGTATTTCCAGGCAGTGTCTGTCTTTATTTGAGTGTTTCCAGAATCTGCACATTTTCAAAAAAAAGTTCAAAATTTTCGAAATGTAAATTCCAATTTTTTCAACCTTTCGCAACTTTTCAACATCGAAAAAAACAACCCACTCAACTGAGAGTCGGGATGATCATTATAAGAAAAAGTACACAAAAACACTAAAAACAATATGAGATAAACATAAATTAAGTTCGAAAGAGAGAATTTTTCGGAAATTTCAAAATTCAGAAATCACCAAGAACCTTCAACACCCTCCCCCCACTTCCCCTTTTTCATAGCAATTAGCACATGTGTCTCCGAGAAGAAAAAGAGAGAAAAAGAAAGATAGAGTCCTACTAAATTCCATATTTTGATCTCTTATTATCGGATATATTCAAATATTCCGTATAGGCGTTTGGACGTCTGCCAAGGCACCAACTGGTACCATCCATATTAATAACATAGTTTATATTCTGTTTTTGCAGAAAAGATCTTAATGCTGAAATTTTTTGAATTTCTATGAAATGTGTCACCACTCTTCTCCCATTTTCCACATCAGTAGTCCACTGAAAATATGGATAATTATGGGGATGCAGCTCAGTCTTTTTCAGTTTTTTGGTGGCTTGATAGGCTGAGTCTTATCAGCTGATACTGACAGATAACCCCTCAATGTTCTACTAACCATCCATGAGGAAGAATCTGAAAATAGATTGAGAGATCAGTTATAGCTAAGTGAAACGTTTTGATGACATGCCAATTTCTGGGATTCTTTCGAAAGTGTGGGGTTTCCAGATAAAGAAAATCCCGCAAAATAAGCAACATGAATATTGTTTCAAACACAAATATTTCTTTCATTTTTCTGAAAAATTTCTAAATTTCCTCAAACAAATCTCTGTACCTCTA